CTTCTTTGACATAAAGCCGACAAAAACAAAACTAAATAAAGGGTCACATTTTTATCTACACAGGATATTTCTAAACCCAACGAGTCGTTCTCACTGATCGCTATTTATTCACTGGATTGCTGATTGCCCGACAAAAGAGAAGCCACCGGCCGCCATATTGGTACTCCCTGCTCCCATGGAGACGCGCAGTAAAATGCCTCCCTGTGCAGAAACCAGCAGTTTTCTGGCTGCAGGAAGACATTCCAGATAATTTCCCAGTCAGTGGATGAACTAAGCAATAAGTCCATCTATAGCCGATGGATCCTATAGTTTAGTCTGCAGACTAACATTAGTCTGGCAACTCAGACTGACTGGAAGACACTGACATTGGGTCTAACGTTAGAAAATAGAAAGTAGAGGAAATAGAAAGTCATTCACTGTGAAATGTTAATGTAGGAATTCTGTATGAAGTGGATGATGTTGTAGTTTTTGTAGAGTTTGTTGTATTTCTCAGTTGAAAAAAAATATTACATTTTATATTTATGGAAAACAACAACTCAACTCAAACATTTAACATATGGGTAAAATTCCAGCGTTGTTTTTTCTATGCAATGTGATGAACCAATTTATTTGACAAGGTAAAGTTTGGGCTGATCAGTGGGTAGCACTGCTGCCTTGCAGCAAGAAGGTCTGGAGTCTTTCTGCATGGAGTTAGCATGTTCTCCCTGAGCATGCTGGGTTCTCTCTGGGTACTCCAGCTTCCTCCCACAGTCCAGAAACATGACTGTTAGGTTAACTGGCTTTGTCCTGTGTGTCTCTGTGTTGCCCTGCGATGGGCTGGAGATCTGTCCAGGGTGGACCCCGCTTCTCACCCACTGACAGCTGCAGATAGGCACCGCTTGGGATAAGAGCGATGGAAAATGGAAATGAAATACGTCACAGTAATCGACTGATGCTATGAAACAGCCAGTGTCTCTTAAAGTAATTAATTTGTCTTTATTTTAAAAGTCTTAAGTGCCCCTGAAAATGAGAACATCATCGTTGTTTGATGCTGTAGCGCATAGATTGTTTACACTGCGACCAGTCTAACTAGGGAGTACCAATATGGCGGCCGGTGGCTTCACTTCAACCCCGTAGTACCAACGGGCGATCAGTAATCAGGGGATAAATAGAGATCAGTGGTCGTTCTTTCTTTCACTGCTGCGTTTCGTCCCTCCTCTGCTGGCTCCTCCCCTCACCATTGTCCTCGTTGTCCCGGAGGAAGCGGCGCACGGCACGCTTGAAGCTCAGGATGGTGGCGTCGCTGGGAACCTCATGTCCCGCCGTGAAGATCTTGACAAACAGCAGCGACTGTGGAAGGTCCTGCACCGGAGGACAGGAGGAAAAGGTTTTACCGACTTGTTCCACCTCAATCCTGCTGGTCGGAAACTTTCTGGCTCACGATTGATAATCGCATGATAGGAAGAAGGAAAATTAGAGAAAACCCAGCAGAAAAATAAATAAATAAAAAGAAAGAAAAGTTTTTCATTATGCTGAAATATATTGCACACATTATTAGAAATATAAACAGTAACAATATTACAATTAAGAAAAGGTTGGGTTTAAAAGTGAGCTTTGACTGAACCTCAGAGGCCTTCTCCTGTTTGCTAAAACGGAGTCTGGATTTTCTAAATTCAAAGATACTTAAAACTAGCGCTGCAATTAACGAATATATTTAGCAAATTGATTAATCTGTTGATTGGTTTTACGTTTAAGACTATGTTTCATACTCAGATTCCTTAAAGAAGACAGTTTATAAAATTAAACCAGGTGAAACTAAAACGTTCAGATTGAAAGACCAGAACTTTTTTCACCTTAAAGGCAACATTTTTATAAACTCTTTTTCAATCTTGGTATAATTCCTGCTCTAACTTGCTTTTTCAGCTAAAGGCATGTTTTAAGGTTTCTGAACATCCAGTAAATGATTAATTAATTACTAAATTAGGCAACGATTATTTCAAAAATGTATTAATTGTGATTAATCCGATAAATTGTTTCCGCTTTACTCAAAATCAAACTTTAAACCAACTGAATCTTTTTTAGTAACGACCAAAGCAGAGAGGAAAGATGGTTTGAAAGAGGCATGAAGGAAGCCATCTTTGTTCCAACAGAAAAGCATCACAGATCTTTTAGTTATCAGGCTCCTCTCCTGTGGAACCAACTACCAGTTTTAGTCCGTGAGGCAGACACCCTGTCTACTTTTAAGGCTAGGCTTAAAACTTTCCTTTTTGATAAAGCTTCTAGTTAGAGTGGCTCAGGTTATCCTGAGCTATCTCTATAGTTCTGCTGCTATAGGCTTAGACTGCTGGAGGACATAGGGACCCCTTTTTCATCATTCTGCTTCATTCTATCTCTATTGTCCCACTCTGCAGAATCTGTTAGTTCAATCTCTAACGTTCTGCTCTCTCTGCTTTTTCTCATAGTAGCTTCATCTGGTCTGTTCCTGTTTGGCTGTGACTCCATCCTGGAGAGAAATATCAGCTGTGCTGCTGCCATCAACACCTTTGTTTATAGATGTTGGGGCTTCACCTGTTTTTTCAGTGTAGTCCTGTTTCTCTGAAGATCAAACAGTCTAATCCCGATTCCAATCAGATGGCGAACCCGCACCAACAAACAGGGACCCAGGAGAAGGACCAGTGGGAACGAAGAGGAAGAACCTCCATGCTGCTCAGGAACATCAGCGCTTTGAGGTGTTTCTACTGTGAGACAACAGAATGAGAGACTCCAGGATAAGAGACGAAATACCTTGAGAAAAACTGAGCCAAAGTCCGGTTCCTCTGACTGCAGGGCCTGAAATTCACAGCAGGATTGTAGGAATATCGCATTATCTGATCCTTCCCTGCGAATCTGTTTTATATAAGCGGGAAATCCCCCCTTATAAAAATCAGGGTAACATGTAGCTACTAATGTGGACGTTTTTAGATTTAGACGAATTCTCCGCTACTCAGTGGTGCGCGCATTTCTTCTTCTCTTCTTAGAGAACAGTGTAGCTCTTTGCTAGCAAACCAGATATTAAACCTTATCAGGTTTAATATCTTTAACCTATAAAATATCCCAAACATGGATCTCTGGCTAAAACATATCAGATGAACAGCTTGTAGAAAAACACAAATCAAAAGCGACGCCGGACCCAGTGATGTCAGGATTGACCCACATACCGCTGATCCTTCAGGCGTCAACATCACTAAGCAACCCAAAGATACGCTTCAGGCTAACAGGTTCAAGCTACATCCCCGGCTTGAATACAACAATGATTAAATGAGCAGCTCCATCTGTAAAACGTACCGTCCTCTAACCATTTACCAGCCGTTGCTTTAAAACCTCAACTTTGTCCGCCGCCACTCTGACTGTGTTTTCCTACTGGGGTGAGTACTGGCATACTGGCTTGCAAGTTTATGACAATATTGCGATATCACTATATATAGCAATATTTTACCCAGCAATCAAAATAAATCAAGTGCTGCATATGTTCATCAGAATCCATGTTGTTTGGAGTTTGAGTCAGTTCACGTCTTCCACTGTGACTGCTTCAACTACAGAGATGATGTTGCTGTACAGTGAAAAGGCTCCATAGCGCCATCTCCCATAGTGGCGGTGCACAGGTAGTCCAATTTACCCTTATTGTTTTACGTAAAAACTTTTTTGTTTTTATTTTCTGAAAATACATATTAGGAACCAAAAGATGGATATTATATTGGGCAGCAGAATATCACGATATATCGCCAAATAGATTTTTTTCCACATCCCTATTTCCCACTGCAGCAGTGGAAACATGAGCAATCAACGATGCGCTACTAGTGCAGTGTGAAGATGAAATAAAGGAGTTGCAGGTTAAAGCCCCCGTCTCACCTTGATGATTCAGACCAGCGTCTGCCTGATGTACGGAAAATCAGGCAAAAACACTGCCATAAGTTGGATAAGTTAGGGGTACGTTTTGTTTTAGTTATGAGCGCGATGAAACACGCTGGCACACACTGACATACGGTTGAGTACATGTATGGAGTACCGTATGTAAGCGTCTGCCATCAGTTCCAGGTCAGTTATCTGATGGTTGACATCCGTTCAGTGTCATTTCCTCATCAGTCGTGGCGTCTAGCTTATCCTAAACCTCTGAGTAACTTCTGCGTAACTTATCCAGAACTTCTCTCCAACGCATATCAAGGTATCTGACGTGTTCCAGACGAGCGCTGAACGTGTTTCTACCTTCCAGCTACTGTATAATGGCGTATTGGCAGCGTTTTGGTATAAAGGGGGTTCACAGGAGGAAACCGTCAGTTCTCCTCCAGACTTCATCCCCATCATAGGGTGAGCCAGAAGGTGAGAGTGATGGATCCTCCCTGCGTTCACGCCCACCACCAACAACCTTCCTAGCAGACATGACGCTCAATCAATAAAATGTAAAATTTGCTTGCTTTTATCCCCTCTCTTCCCCAATGTGGCTCCTACCTTTCCACAGAGATACAGGCGGCGCTATAGGGTACCGCCCGGGACCTGGGAGGCCATAAGAATGCGCTACTGGCAGCGTTCTGCGGCACTAATGGCCTAAATTTCGATTGCAATGTAAATTGTAGTTGACAATAAAGATTGATTGAAGAGCATGTCCTGTCTAAAACAGCAGGGAAGCAAAAAGAAGAGAAACACATCCAAGATGCTCTCCAAACCTGTGGATACCCAAACTAGGCGCTTGTCACATCACCATTCCATATGTTGCTGGAGTCTCTGAAAAACTCAAGAGGATTTTCTTCAAACATTAAATCCCAGAACATTTCAGACCAAACAAGAAAGTTACAGAGACTAGTTCATCCTAAAGACCAAACCTCCAGACTTATTCTGAGTAGAGTGGTGTCTGCAGGTCAACGCAGTGAGGAATGCTCTGATCTTTATATTGGAGAAACCAAACAAACTCTGCACAGACGCATTGCCCAACACAGAAGAGCGCCCTCCTCTGGACAGACTCTGCGGTACATCTACACCTGATGGACAAAGGACATTCTTTGGAGGACTAGAATGTTCACATTTTGGACAAAGAAGACAGGTGGTTTGAGAGGGGCGTGAAGGAAGCAATCTATGTTAAGAAAGAAAAACCAACCTTCAACCGGGGAGGGGTGGGGGGTGGGCTGGGGGGGACTCACCTTTCAAAAACCTTCAATGCAGCAATAGAGTTGATTCCTTCCCGCTATCATCGCAGCCCCACCCCTTTACAGGAGAACAGAAGACCTCGCCTGTTCAGCCAGGCCAACAATTCCCTTTAACGACCCCCATTTCAGAGACATAGACAGGTATGGGGCATTGCAGGCTAACAAAGAAGCCAAACGACCCCCATTCCAAAGGGGGGGACCCGTTCATCCATTTCGATTTGCATGTTTTCTAAACAAAAAACAAAGCTTTGTT